ACAAACAGTTAGCTGGGTTTAGTTTTTTTCTCTTTAAGATAAACTCTTCGCTACCATAACTCCAGCACCTTATGAATGCTCCTAAGTTCATTTGAGCAAATAAAGGTACGTGTACAAGCATAAGAGATGAGAGAATGGGCATAAGCTTAATCTGAAAGAGAACAAGAGTGACTAACAGGAGGAAAGAACCTCTGCCAGTACTGTAGAACAATATGCATTATAAGGGAAAGGGGGCAAATGATTGAAGGAGACAGTGCCTTTCTAATTTCCATAACTTACGCTACCGAGTAGAACTAACGGGCTGTTACAGGTGTTCACATATCAAATTAATTTCCTTCTTACATGTAATAATCCATGAAAAACGGAAATAGGGACTTACATAAAAAAGAAGACGAAGGGGGCGATGCAATGGAGGCGGATGTGTGAGGTTATAGTGTTATACTAACGGGGCAGACGGCGTTTGGTAGTGCAAGTGTATTACGCTACAATGACATTACATACACATTAGTAAAGTCTGATATATGCCATTTAAAGTTGCAAACATCTTAACATTCTTAAATCCTAAATTACTATGAAATATTTCTTAGTTTCATGAGCAAAACATAGGAATATAGGATACTATTAATGATTAAAACATCTAAGTCAAAACATTGAATCAAAAATAAGTTCCTGGTTCAAGCCTTAATAAATTAATAGCGTATCAGTCTACTGGAAAGAAACAAAAAGGAGTGTAGTATGTGTCATGTACAAGATGAAAGATCACAGGTAGTTCTTGAAAAAGACGGAGCAGATTTTTTTGTAAATGAACAGAGCAGAGAGAAGAGAAGACATACGGATTTTTTTTTAATTAAAACATATAGCCGCGTTCTACACTTCTGCGTACGTACAAGGGCTTTAACTTGGTTACTAGTTAAGTTTTAAAAGTCTACTTTACCCCTGTCCTTCCGCAGTCAAAAAATAAACGCAGAAAACCCCCCAACACCTTCGACCGCAAGAAGCGGCGCTATAGCGTCCGCCTCTACCTGTATAGCGTCCCCGCTATAGCGCCCGCAAAGCCCGCTACACCCAAACGCTCCGCTACAGGAGGTCTTGTAGCGCCAGACCTCTCCTCCGCTCCGCTCCACCGCTATAGCGCCGCTATAGCGCGCGATTGACATCACTGGGTTATACTAACGGGGCAGACGGCGTTTGGTAGTGCAAGTGTATTACGCTACAATGAGGTACAAGGAATGAATCATTTAGTACATGCGAACTTAGCTGCAGAGTTACACCAACATTTTTTTAATACCTAAAATAGGCGTACCTTCATTCATGCTTATTATTTTGTAGATTAGCTGCAGAGTTACACCAACATTTTTTTAATACCTAAAATAGGCGTACCTTCATTCATGCTTATTATTTTGTAGATAGTTTCTCTTCCCCAGAGGTGGACACCATCCCAGACCTGCGACTTCCTGGTTCCCCATATGCAGTAACTACAACTGCCCTGTCTTATTGGTTCTGGGTCGGTTTTCAATCTCAGTCCGGATTCCGGAACCATGAGCATGTCCACCCCTACCCGTCCCAACTGTAGTTAAAGGGTGACACACAAACTTGTGTATTCTGGCAGAGTTTTCTAGCCTCACAAGTAACGACTCAGTCTCTCAACAAGATAGCACCATGAAGAGACATCACATTGTATATTTTTAAAAAATAAGACCTAACATTAGGCTCATTGGGTGAATGCTAAAATGGTTTACTCCATCGATCGCAACTCGCAAGCCTAGATTTGCATTAATCCACCACGCCTAGAAAGTGACTTTGAAATTGCAAGTTGACAACCCAAGAGGAGAGAGCCGGAAAGGAATATAGTTAAGGAATCACACATCACAGTGTGTTTGGATTTGAGGGTGGCATCCTCTACCCCCTCCCCACATCTCAAATTCGGAGGAGTAGTGACTATGTGAGTCTTGTGAGTAGAATAGAAGGAAGGAATGAATGAGAACATCCATCCATCCTCCCTAGCCTTCTTGTATACTCCCTGGACAAACAAAATAGGAGACAAGTGTTCTACCCCTTCTGCATTCCCTCAAGCCAAACAAAAAGTTAGGTTTGCACAGATAAGTATAGGAAATCTAAAATCGCAACGCAAGTGCAAAACAGACATCTTTTTGTATTATACAGCGCCTCCTGTTCAACCAATTCAAAAGAACATGCCATGCCAGGGAAAATTTCATTCAAATCGAATTATTATCAAGGCATATGTAAGTGTATTTTCTTCTCAATCGTATCATGCAAAAGCTGGATCTTTCTAATCTAATCACAATCTAGAAGACATGCCTATGTTCATTGCTATAAACAAAAAAATAACAAAATCATGCACTAGTAGAATAACCATTAGTGCCCTGGTTGGCCTTCTGCATTTCTATATTCTTCCTCTCCTCTTCTTTTTGAAACCCACTATTCTCTTCATCTTCATCATCATCAGAATCCAATGTAAAATGTGAGCTGCTGGTAGCCATTTCCAACTGCTGCACCACCTCTGCACTAAGTGGTCTATACCTCAAAGCTGAATCCTTGTTAATTCCACTCTTCTTACATAAAATAGAGTATGCTCCAGACATCAAAACCACAAGAAGAGCAAGATGGCAATTGAACTGAAGAGTGGCAATGGCTCGACCTCGATGGTATTCGGGATGTCCATTGCACTTTATGGTGTAATTCCCTCTACTTTTTCCGTGCAATGAGCAGCCATGAGCTATCATGTTGGTGAAAAATGAAAACCCCATTTGTAGGAACCAGATACCTTGCAAGACCAGTCCGATTCCGCGCCCCAGTCTAGTGTAATTGGATTTGGGGTTTTTCAATTCCAGAATAGTAGAGAATGCACAAATAGAAATGGGCACTAGAAAGAGATCATAGTACCTATTTTCGACCCCGCTAGGGTCTTTCCTCTGAAGGTAAAATAACAGAAATTCTTCCATGAATGCGAAGAGGGAAATCAGATTGAGGAACTGGAAAGGAAATTGAAGACGCCTTCTTGTACAACTAACGAAGCCGAGGACGGAGTAGAGAAGGAAAAGGAGCGAAATGGCGATTTCCCCCAACTGGTAAGCCAAACCAACAGAGTCTTTGGAGTTGATGGCGTCAGAGATGGAGACTATGGAGTTGACGATGAAGAGAAATGAGAGGGCGGAAACTGCCAGGAATGTCACGGAGGAGGAGAACCTTGAGGAGGATTCCGTCGACGAAGACTCTCTGAAGGTTTCTGTGGATGATACGAAGGATTCCCAAGCTCCGATCAGTATGAAACCTCCGCCGCCGACGGTGTACGCGAACAGGCTCATCGCGTTGACTCTGATGCAAAATTGAGCGCGTAGGGGTCGGGAATTCTGTGCGAGGGACTTATGACACCTGATTCGTTGATCTCTTTCGTGTCATAGTTTGACTCGTAATTTTTTTGGGGTATTTTACGGTTCCTTTTTCTCAACCCAATCCAAAAAGGTGTAGTCAAGATGTTTTTACGTGGAAAGTCATACCAGATTAGACCAGACTTGGAAAGTCATAAAAATACAAAGAAACCAAACATTACCAGACCAGTTCAGACCAGACCAGCAAATTACAGTCCAAGTAAAAACATCCTCAATGTAAAAAATTTGGTTCGGTTTAATGTTCAAAAGTTTAGAATCATGATTTGTTCGGTTCAATTTATTTCTATTCAATTTCAGTTTTTTCGGTTTTTGCCCCAAAAAAATTGTTGATTAAAAAATAATAATTGCAAAACAAAAACAAAAAAGTAAGTCCAACTATAATTAATAGTAATACAATACAAAAACATAATTAAAAAAGAGAGAAGAAACAAATGCACTTCCAAACAGGGACGGAGCCAGATATAGAGTTGTGGTGTCAATTGACACCACTGAAAATTTTCTTTTCCATATATAGGTACATACAATTTTTTTAAAATTTAAAATTGACACTACCGAAAAAAATTATTTACATATAGGTATATGTAATCTTTCAAAAATTTAAAATTGACACCACCATTTAAAAAAAAAATTGGGTGACACAACTCTTACTCCAATAGTCCAACTCCAAATCGCTGCAAGAAGGAACTATAGAATCACATAAGAACTGATTGCACAATCGAATGAAAGATGTTTTGATGAATGCTATTTTGCTTTACAACTACAGTGGCAATTTTCGCAAGTGAGTTTGAAAGATTTCCGGGTGAATTTGTTGATAACATTTTGTGAACAATTTCTTCATGAAGTGTAGAACATCTCCACAGAATTTTATCTAAAATTTACACAGAAGACAGTTACATAAATTATTGAAAAACATGGCGCCATTATGAGGGGTAGTGATGGTGGCGATTTGTAATTGGGAAACTGTCACTGGTGGTGAGTCACCCATGCGATTGGTCATCGAAAAAAATCCGTCACTGATCTAACGACGATCACTAGTGCTGGTGCCTGGTGGTGGTCACAGGAGGTGACCCCTCGCATGAGATGATTGTAGCACCGAGCCGCGGAGGCTGATTGTTGTGCAAATGGTAACTGAGAAGAAGAAAGCGGAGAAAAACAACCCCTAACCCTAGAGGAGACGGCCATCTAGGGATAGAAGCTGCCTTTGCCTTTTCTTGAGTTGCAGTCCTATTATACAACTTTTATTAAGATTGAGAAAGATCTTTTTAGTTGTAAAGGTTTAGAAGTTGTAAAGGTTTAAAATCTAAATCTTTTATACCCATAGTTTATAATTTGAAGGTTTACAAGTTGAATGTACTTGCTTATTCAATAAATAAATAATTTCATAATTTTTTTAATATTTAGACACAATGAATAGAGAAAATATAAAAATTGAATATATAATCAATATGTTGTTAACAATGATAGATGTAACACCCGGCCCTGTGAGACCCGATGTAGTTACTCCGGACCTTTAGTACTGTTCTCACAACTTGTAATCACATGTTTTATTTTGGGTATTTTGATTACACAAAAAACAGATTTTAATTCAGGCAAAATCATTTAAAATTTTATTTAATTTTACACTATACACCCCCTAGTTCAGCAACGCAGGCTGCTTCGGATCTTCCGCATAGACACTCATCCAGACGAGAGTCGATAGCCGAGCAAACGAGCGGCCCGGCTGCGACCCACCCACCGGCAACCGTTGCTTCCGCCGACCACGCCCTGCCCGGATGCCCCTGCGTCCGTCCGCCGCAGTGCTGCCGCACTACTCAGCCAGGTAAAACGTCACAGACTTTCTCAAAACTCTTCTGTTTTTTCTTGCAGGCTTATGAACTTTTCCACTTGCTGGAGTTGTAGATTGTCCGTCTTTATGTAATTATTCTCAGAATTGTTTGCAGAATGGCTAAAGTGCTGATTTACTTTTTGCAGAATTATGCCGATTTGGCTGAAGTGCTAAAGTTCATTTTTTTTTTGAAAACTAAGAAAATTTAATATGAAATTTTGACACATAAGGAGAAAGGGCTTGACTATATTTTGGTTGAGAACAATTGAAGTTGAAGTATTAGTTGTTTTCTACTTCTCTAATACTTCGCATATATTATACTGCATACTGAATTAATGACAATATTGCGTCATTGACTCATTGGTGCTTGAATACTGCACCCTCATATATCGCAATGAATTCAATGATTTTGGTTTGTGAGTACAAAAAGAATTTCAGAAATCATTAGTCCCAACTTAATCGCATTTGGAAACAGGAACTGTGATTCTTATTTGGAATATTTGGACTAAATATACCTTTGGTTTTCTGCTTTTTGGAGTATAGCATCAGAGATTTGCAATGACTTTTGAACATCTATATTCTCTTGAGGTAGTAAGAAGTACTACTTAGATTTGAGTTTTTTCCTTCTAAAGCAAAGTTTCTCAAGTGCATCTGATACAGAACTATATTTTATGTTTACTAATTCTGTAATTAGTTGAACTAAAATAGTAAAATTTACTTGGAGTTTGTATTTGACTACACTGCATCCAGTTATGAATTGATTATTTATGCGTAGAACAATCTGATATTTTCCTTAAATGCTACCTTATTCTAAAAACTTCCTCCCGTTTAATATGCTTGAGGGTTTGTCTGATGATAAAACTGACTCACTTCTGCTAATATTAAAATTATTATCGACAATTAAAACTCACGTATTTATAAACTACACTAGAAGTTCTACTACAATGCACAAATGGAATTCCAATACTATAAATAATTCCCCCCCTGCCCCCTGCCCCCTGCCCCTCAGTTGAAATGCTAGATCCGCCTCTGTATAAGGACAAACCCTAACATAGGGTTTCGTCTGGTTGGAGATAAATCCCTTTAGGACTTCTTGCATAATCCCTTGGAGCGGGTTGTTTAGAAATACTGAGACCCCTCCTGTTTGATTGGTTCAAGATAGCATTGCAATTCAATTTATGTTTTTTGACTTTGTTCAAGCTTTGTTTTTACCTCGGTGATACATTGAAAACTTGGTTCAAGCATTTTTTCCTTTTGTGGTTCAATTGCTTAAAATTTGTTTTTTCAGTTTGCCTTTGCCGTTGTAGTACTTTTATTTTGGGCTCCTAGGGTATTAGTTTTATTTTTCTTTTTGAAAAATCTGGCATTTCTCATCCTTGTTTGTCTTTGTGATAATTGTTTTAATGAGTTTCTTTGTAAATCTCATGATTACATTTTTCTTTTCTTTGCTCCTATTGTGTGTTGATATGGGTTCTACTAATAACTGAGCTATGGTCCCTCAAATGGAGAAACTACTTTTAGTATATGCAATCAAAAGATTAAATGATTTTTTAATCTTTATTCCAAAAATGGCTTATAGATTATAGGGCTGTTATTAAAACCTATTTGACCAATGACCACTGGTTTCAAAGAAAAGAAGCTGAAAGGAATTAAAATGCAAGCTCTACTTTTTACTTGGACTTGTTTCACAATGTAGCTTATAAAAGGGTAGGATTAGGGCTGAATAACCGGGTTAAGATAGTAGGGTTACTTTTTACTCTAAAACCCTACTTTATCACTTAAAAACTTCTAAAGCCCAAAATTACCCCAAAGTTCCCTCAATACTAGATCATACAATGCCATATAAATTATTGCAGTGCTTAGTGCTCGATTATAACCGCTATAGAGCCCGCTGCTGGCACAGTGGCACTAAAGCCAACCGCTTCGCTACCCCACTACAGAGAGCTATTGATATCACATCTCTATATTGAAATTGCATGTTGGTTGATAGATTCCCCGTAAAAAGCTTATTCAGTGTGATGGGTTCTTTTCAATGTTTCATAAATTGAAAATAAAAGGGTGCTGGACTAATTTAACACTTGTTGTCTAAACATTGCATCTAGGTGCATATTATGCTGCATAGGGTTTGAGCAGAGAATATTATCTTGCTGCTTTGAAATATCTGGGCATCAGAAAACTGATCAACTTTTCAGTAAGATAGTGCTAAATTGCTTATCTGGAGCTAGGCTGCTGTCTGACACAACCACCAGTGCCCAGAGTTTCTATCATCCAATGCTAAATGTTTCCAAATCTTCTTCTTCAGACAACCTCCAGAACTCTCTCTTGCCTTACTTTTTCGGGTTCTACCTTGGTCTCAATCCCTTTTCCCCATTTCAGAGTTCAAGAGGTTTTAGCATCCAAACTTGCACCGGTCTTACTAGATTGCACTTCTCTTGTGGACAGTTCCTCTCCTGTTCTTCAAAAAGGCCATCAAATTCACGCCCAAATAATTGTACATGGAATAAAAAACATGGGTGTTTTAGGGTCCCGAATTCTGGGGATGTATGTTCTTTGTAACAGATTTCTCGATGCCAAGAAATTGTTTTGGCAGCTCAATCTATGCTATGCCTCTCCTTGGAATTGGATGATCAGAGGGCTAACTGTACAGGGTCATTTTTACTCTGCACTTATGATGTACTTCAAGATGTTGGGTTTTGGTACGTGGCCTGATAAGTACACTTTTCCTTATGTGATTAAGGCTTGTGCTGGTTTGCATGCGGTCACATTGGCAAAATCAGTTCATCGATGGATTTGTAGTTTAGGTTACGAGTTAGATATTTATGTTGGGAGTGCTTTGATTAAGCTTTATTCTGAAAATCATTGTGTGGGCGATGCTCGATGTTTGTTCAATGAAATGCATTCTAGGGATAGCGTTTTGTGGAATGTAATGCTCAATGGGTATGTGAGTTCTGAGGAATCTCTGGATAGTGTAGTTGGATTGTTCATGCAGATGAGAAGGAGTGATACTAAGCCTAATTCTGTGACGTTTGCTTGTGTTCTTTCACTTTGTGCTTCTGAAGGAATGGCTGAGTTTGGGACACAACTTCATGATCTTGTTGTGAAGTGTGGATTGGAAATGGATTCTTCTGTAGCCAACACATTAATAACGATGTATATGAAATGCTGTTGCTTGTTTGATGCCAAGAAATTGTTTGATGTAGCAGAAAAAAAGGACTTGGTGACATGGAATATAATGATCGGTGGATATGTCCTAAATGAGGCTGTGGATGAGGCTTGGAATCTATTTCATGAAATGATAGCTATTGATGTTAAACCAGATGGCGTCACCTTTGCAAGTTTTCTACCCTCAGTTGCTGAATCTGAAGATCTGTGTCTAGGTAAGTCTATTCATGGATACATTGTGAGACACAGCATTTCTTTGGATGCGTATTTGAAAAATGCACTTATTGATATGTATTTCAAGTGTAGAAATGTTGAGTTGGCGCGCAACATTTTTCAGGATAGCGTGCTGGTGGATGTTGCAATTTGTACATCTATGATTTCAGGATTTGCTGTTAATAGGATGAATCTTGAAGCCCTAGAGGTGTTCAGATGGTTGCTGTTTAAGAGAATGAAGCCAAATGCACTAACACTGGCAAGTGTGTTGCCTGCTTGCACTGAACTGGCTGCCATTAAACTTGGCAAGGAGTTGCATGGTACTGCCTTTAAACTTGGGTATGAAGGTAAATGCTTTGTGGGTTGTGCCTTGACAGACATGTATGCAAAATGTGGAAGGTTAGACCTAGCTCATCAAATTTTCTCATTGTTGTCGGAGAAAGACATGGTTTGTTGGAATTCATTAATAACTGGCTGTTGCAAGAATGGAGAACCAGAACAAGCAATTGGTCTTTTCCGCAAGATGGGTGCAGAGGGATGGAATTATGACTGTGTGAGCATATCAGGTGCTCTCTCTGCATGTGCAAACATACCGGCCCTCCACCATGGAAAAGAGATCCATTCCTTCATGATCAAAGGTGCATTTCACAATGATCTTTTCGCTGAAAGTGCACTAATAGACATGTATGCTAAATGTGGGTACTTGCAGACAGCACGCAATGTGTTTGATTTGATGAACAAGAGAAATGAAGTCTCATGGAATAGTATCATATCTGCCTATGGAAACCATGGTCTATTAGATGAATCTCTAAACTTGTTTCGTGGGATGGAAGAAGATGGGTTCCGGCCTGACCATGTCACTTTCCTTGCTATCTTATCTGCTTGCGGTCATGCTGGTCGGGTTGAACTAGGGAAGAGCTATTTCAACTGCATGATTCAAGACTATCACATAATACCCAGAATGGAGCATTATGCATGCATGATCGATTTGCATGGTAGGGCTGGTTGTTTAGAAGAAACATTCAAAATCATCAAAAGCATGCCAATTGCCCCAGATGCCGGCATCTGGGGTGCATTGCTTGGGGCCTGCCGAGTCTATGGCCATGTTGAGCTAGCAGAAATGGCCTCAGAATATCTATTCAACCTCGATCCACAAAATTCTGGCTACTACATTTTACTGTCAAATCTACAGGCTGACTCTGGAGAATGGGAGAGAGCATCAAAAACAAGAAATTTGATGAGGGAAAGAGGAGTGCAAAAAGTACCAGGTTATAGCTGGATTGAAGTTAACAACACTACTCACATATTTGTTGCTGCAGATAAATCTCACCAACAATCTGCTCAGATATATTTTCTTTTAGATAATCTTTATAGGGAGGTGGAGATGGATGGAAATTTTCCTCAACAACATCTCCAACACTCTGTTGATAAATCTCTTGTCAATAGCTCCCAACTGTAAGGAAGTCAGGTGCTTTGATATTATTATTATTATTATTATTATTATTATTATTATTATTATTTGTGTTTTCGATATTATTTCTAATTTCATTTTATGAACGACTTAGTTTTTTATTTTTAGGGAAAACTGTCAAATAGGTCCTCGTACTATAATGAAAACATCAATTGAGTCCTTGTACTAATAATTTAACCAATCAGATCCCCGCACTTTTAAAAATGAGCCAATATTCCTTTTTAGCTGGTGACTAACCGGTTCTTCCGTTTGGGGCTGATATGGCTGCGTACGTGGATTTAATTAATTACCTATTTGAGAGACTTTTAATGACATGTCACAGACCACATGTTAATACTTAAAAGTAGGGCTTCCTTCTATTATCCCAACGTGTTGTCGCATAAGGCCTTCTCCCTCAGTCCCTCCTTCCCACCTTTAATTTTCTTATCTCTATCTACGAAATTTGCAGACTTAGCGATGAAGGTTGAGTGGAACAGATCAACCGAAGAGGCGGCGATGCTGAGGTAATGGAAATTGCGTGTAACTGTTCTCTCTCTTGAAAGGAAGTAGTAGAAATGTCTGGATCTTCTACATCTACCGGCAGAAAAATTCTGAATTTTACATTTGATTATGAGCCGGCTGCCGGTCGTGTCTTGTCATTGTGGGATGAAAGCACCGTTGTGTACGAAGAGAGTGGGAAAATGTTTTATGGGTGTCCGAATTGGAAGGTAAATGTTGTATTTTGTTTAATTATTTTGTCGTAAATTGATTTAGTTTGTTTTAACGTAATTAAGTGTATAAAGTGTAATAACGTAATAAGAATTTGGTGTGTTTTACAGTGTAATGTACAACCAACTACAGTTTACGTATTCTGCCACAATATGCTATTTAGGTTAGTGACAACTAACTGGAATTAACATCAGGAAAACAATTTGCCAAATGTGAGTATGGCCAACAAGAGCCAATTCTAGAGAAATTTCTGGATAAATGCATCTATTATGTGTAGGACTGACTCATTATACAGGTGGAAGATTAAAGATTGACATTGAATTCTCTTTCTGATCAAAATGTTAAGCCACCCATAAAACAAATTGAATTACAAGTGCAGAGGAAACTAAATGTCTAAATGATGGGTCACAGATTAATAGAAGAAACCATAGACACAAAATTGTTTAAATGTTATACTACGTATTAGTTTCTGTTGTATTTTGGAATGACTGTTGAGCACTGTTTTTTTATGATAGGTGGAAGGATGGAGTTATTTTGTATGGAAGGATGTTGATATTAGTTTGTTGGGCACTAATGTTGATTCATCATTGAAGAACTCACGTAAACTGTCCATAGGTTCACTTGATTTTTTAAAATACAGCCCTTTAATGTTGCCATAACTTACAGATTTTAGAAACTTCACCAAATTTGGACAACATATGTAATCTGGATCGATTTCCACACTTTTGGTTTGACCACCCACATACATATTCTTAGGAGTACAAGCAAAATCTCCCCCATGATGAATAATTAGCTATACAAACTCAACCATCCTGTTAATTGTTTTTTCAGATGAGTTAACTGGCAACACATTATAAAAGCAAACAATTTTAGGGTTAACTAGACACAACAAAAAACCCACAATTTTTGAGAAATTACCTGGTCCACGAGTGTTGGGCAATTTCTCGTAATAGCTCGTCTTCCTCCTTCCTAGACTATGTGCGACTCTCTTTCACTGGCGGTGGTAGTTCGTGTTCACAGGTTCAACATCTTCTCCATTGTCGTTCAATTTAAAACCTACAAAATATGCTCACTTTTTTTTTGAAAATTTGTTATTTTAGTCCTTGGAGTATCAAACATAGTACCAAATGTGATCCCTTACTCTGGACTCAAGTGGCATCTTTTCAAAGTTAGGTGTTGAATCTCGTCGATTTTGAAATTTACGACTAGAGTGAAGTAAATATTTGGAACTAGAGAGGTTTGAATGAACTCCTTTTTAACCGAGTGTCATTTATCTTGTATGTCCCAGACATACTGCATTACTGCTGCTGTAGAAGAATTACGTGTCTTTACTATTAGTGCCATTTACACGTATCATTGACTCATTGTATCATACAAAGCAAATAAAAATGAAGCTGCTGAGACTCTTATATGGCTCAGGCTCACCCTAAATTTGAAAAATGCTTATATTTTATGTGTAAAAATTTATCTGAAAAATTCTTTGTGTCAGCCCAGTGCTCCTGGCTATGCCTCATTTGGCTGACAGCAGATTTGATTTCCATCAATGGGGAAGCCACTGTAATGGACTGGGGTAATACCATTGTGAAGAGGATAGAAAAAGACAAGCAGGGCAATTTGATCAGTTTGACGGGTAATTCATCCTGAAGGCTCTGTCAAGACTACTAAATTAAAGCTCACTTGGCTCTTTGGTTGATTTTGAATACATACAAGAAAGAAGGCTTCGTTTTTGCATTTGTACTTGCTACATCATTACTAATTTGTGTTCAAATGTTATTTTATTTTATTTTTGGATTGGAAGCAGAACATATGTATAAATGTATAAATGCCTTGGCATATGATATCTCTGACAGTTTAAGATTACTTAGGGGCTATGTATAATTGCCTTGGCATATGATATCTCTGACAGTTTAAGATCACTTAGGGGCTGTTTACTTTTTCCCTATTAACAATTCGTTTGAATTAAGACGTCTGTCTGGATTAAGTAGTTTTTGTGTATGAAGCTGTTTACTTTCAGTGTTGAATGGACAGTTTGAATCGAGTAAAATAATCAATTTAGTATTATTCATGAGTTGTAAATTCAATAAGAAATTTCATTTATTAACACAAATCTATTTCATATTTGATTTCAAAAAATTAACAGAGAAGACGTCTTAATTGACGTCTTAATGGGAAGGAGGACCATATTTCAGCTTAATGATCAAGTTAGTTTTTGACTGAATGATTAAGTTGTGCTTTTCAATTAAGAAGCTGTTTTGTTCTTCTTATTCTTTCATTAGACACAATATACTTCACAACAACCGCTATAGCTGTTCGGTAATACAAAAATTAGCTGAATTGGCTGATTTTGCTGAAATTTATGAATGTCGGGATGAAATGGTTGGATTGATTGGTTCAATAGAATTATAAAAAAAATTATGTTTTAAAAATATATTGTTTATAAAATAAAATAAGGGGGTGTCTTGAACATTTTAAATGATTTTAAAGAATTGTAGATTCTAGAATTTTATAGATTCCATGAGATTCATATGGAATTCTATGTCATAGAATCATATAGATTTCAATGAATTTGAATTTTTTTTTAAATAAGTCCTTAATTCAAATTAAATGAAAAAAATACAAAATATTACCTGCAACTTTACAAATATGCTATCGAACTATGTTTGCTTATTAACCAAACAATACAAATAATATGTATTGCTATAGCTGTTGCTTTACAGATTTTAAAAAATACTATTATTGCTTTACGTAAAGTCCAAATACAAAGAAAGAAGAGAAGTTGGATTGAAACACACGTCCATTACAGCTCAAACGAAGAAATATTTCATTCAACAGTAGAAACGAAGCTCCTAGCAACTGATACGTTCTTGAGGGTTTTTTAAATAATGGATTTAGAAATCCGAGGGTTGTTGATTAGATTGTTGATTGATTGAGTTATTTAATTTTTAGAGTTACAAATCCATCCAAAATTTTCAAAATCCATTAGAATAAATAAAAATTAAATTCAATGGAATGTTTGAGGATACCCAGATTTTAATAGATTCCATGAAAATCTAGATTGGGGATAACCGGATTTTGATGGAATTCTAAACTCCATTAAAATTGACATTCAGGACACCCCCGTAAAATAGCTAAGATTGTCATCTATCGCAACTTCAGCCACTTCGGCATAAAATTAAATTGGACCTTAATTATTTGATTATTACACAACGCAACGCATGAATTGAAAAATTATATCAGTCTAATGTCTAATTTATCAATAATTATATCAACCTTACTAACTAAAGAGCATATGCTGAAACTCCTGAAAGAAATGCTGGTTCAAAATAAGGATGTAATGGTGCAAAACACACGTTCCCGGCTTCCCGCTAATCGCTGAATGTCTTTCATATTCAAGGTGTTGAATCGATTTGGTGTTGAGGTGGAAAAGAAATGCATCCCCTTCTTCTCCTCTCAGAATCAGGTCAAAAGGAGTCTTCTTCTTCTTCTTATCATTAAATTGATAAATTCGTTAACGGGAACAAATGCTTCCAAGAAAATGTTCCCCACCATTGGCGGTTCTTTAATTTATACTATCTCTATACCAAATTGATTTACAAAATTGATTTTTTGGTCAAACAGCTTCACTTTATTCTCTTAATTATAATGTTAATTTTTAATTGTATTCTAATTTGGAGTTTGCAACTTTGAAGAGATTTTAATGTAGTTTTCAAATATGTAATATTTAATTTAAAAAATTGAATTAATTATCAATAGAGATGATTTAACATTAACTTTGATTGATAAAACAATGTTGACTTATGCAAATAATTTGTACAGCTGCGTGAGGCATGTTTGGTCGGGAACTTTGGCAGGAAACAAGCTCACAAATCGAAGTTATTAACGACATTCTCATTCATGAATCATGAGTTTATTTGGAGATCAATGTGAAAGACAAGTTTGGAGATCATGATAAGATTATTTGAAAAAAATATCCGCTATCAAATATCAAATCCTGAATTATTAAAGATTATTCCCAATTTTCAATAAACTTAATGCAATCTGGAAATAAATATATAGGATAAAATTCCACCAATATTACCTTTTTAAGAGTTACGAACTAAAATGTGACTTGGTAACTTTTAGTTACTATAATTATGTTTAAAATTACTATGATGTAGTGACCATGATGTAAACTTTGAACACGATTATAGTAACTATAAGTTACCAAGTCACATTATTGTCCATGACTTTTGTATTAGTAATATTTTAAGAAAAGCCTCAAATAAGATAAACATTTCCTTTTGTTAATTTTTTAATTTCATAAATAATTTCTAACTACATGACACTCATTTGTGCGATAGCTTTGTTCACCGTGAGAGCTTCTCTCTCTAGCGAAAACCCTAGTGCATTAGCGTTGGCCATGGTAGGGCATCACCGTCATTAGCAAATGTTTTATTCCGTTCTCCAATAGGGATATATTCGGCGGTTGTTGTCTATGTATATCCTAGTTGATGGATCGTCGGACCAGGGGTGGCCGGAATCCACCAAAAATGAGAATAGAAGGGAGAGTGAATTGATTGGAAAGTACAGATCGTAAATTGGTAAAATCTCAGTGTACAAGTCTCAAGAGTGCAATAGATTAAGCATCCCTTTCCACAAGTTGAAAGGTGATATTTATACTAAGGAGAAAAGGGAAATACTTGGTGGCCAAGCCAAAGATGCTAGTCTAATGGGAGAAGGACACGTGTAAAGTTATTCTAACAAACTAACAGCCTAATTCGATGAGAAGCAGCCACGTGTAAAGCTGATTGGAGAGAGAACCCTTGATAGCTGGCTGATTGATTATTCTTCTAACAGTATTTCTGCCAGAAGCCTCGTGTAGCCGCAGGTGGATAATCCGGAGTATTCCTTTGGTACAGAAAGTGACGTGGCGGTGTTTCCTTTCGAGATAAATCCTTGCGGATTCTATCTAAGTACATGATGCTTTATCCTGACCTCGGGGATCAGTGAGGCCAATATCCGAGAACTCGGGCTCGTGTTGAGAGGACCCGTCTTATTGTCCTTTGTTCCTGCCTTGGAGGTAGTTGACTGCCTGGTGCTTGACTACGGTTGACCAAATGTTTGATTTCCGGAGTCAGACCTGGTACCGACCTCGGGTGCATCGAGGTCGGTCTCATAACTTGCCGAGTTTGGTTGATTCTTGAGCGGTTGAGCCTGATGTCCTCCGGACCTCGGGGTCGGGGTCGGGGTCGGTTGACTTCGTTATCCACTAGGTCTGGTTGGTTCCTGGTGTTTTCCCGACCTCGGCAGTCGGGGTCGGGGTCAGTCTCGGATTGTGGACTTTGTATTTTTGCGCCTTTGATGGACCTTCAATGCTTTCTACCGGCGATTATGATACCCCTGGGGTATATGGGAATATACTCCATCACTAGTGTTTGTTTCGGAGGCTATTTTTAGCTTAGTTCGGCAGAAGTTTTCTACCAGTTTTTGGTTTAAATTGATCTGGCGGAAGTGCGTTTTGTTCCTTCTCACAATGACATGAACGAGCTGAATCGGAATTGCAGGGGCATTGGAAATCTAACCACGACTCAGAGGTTGACAAATTTGGTTTCGACTCTCGGCCTAGGTGATGAGCAGACATGGAGCGATGAAGGGTTGAGCATGGGAGAATACAACAGTCTGTCCCCCTCCTGAACTGCCGCCTTGGATGATCGAGATGTCAGGGTTTGCAAGATGATACTCCAAGAAATCATTCAGGAAGGAGTTTGGAGTATTTGTTAGTTATTTTATTTTTTATGGTCTTATTTTCGTGTTATGTTTGTTTATGATGCTTTGTTTTTTTGTTGAGAACTTTAGTCTTAAGTCTACAATAATGATTGTCAATTCTGCTAGATATCATGTCATTAGAAAGATCTATATGACTAGTGATTACTGTGTCACACCCGCTTGGTGGTTAGCGATTCATATTGCTCTCTAGGGGTGATCGTCTCAAAGTCTAGCCGTAGGGTTGATTGTGATAACTGGTTAAAGATAGTTTTTGTCAGGGGTGATCTTTTTGAGTTTGTTGTAATGATCCGATTCCTGATGGTTTTAATTGTGCTAAAAGTTGTTTCACTATATATCAAGTGTTAGTTAGCCTAAAAAAATATAAAAAAAACTTCTCCTCTACAAATCTTATTTGTCACTAATACTAACGTTAATATGAGAAAATCAACTCACAAGTCTTGAATATTTTGAAATGAATTTTTATTTCTATTTTAGTCCCAATAGAGATACTTATGAGGTGAATCAGAAACAAATATGCATATAATTCTTTCCGTCTTGCATTATTCAACTGGTAATTCTTAGTCGCATCGCATCTATCCCAACAAATAATTAGGACAATCATGTATATTGTTTGGTTAAATGGGTCATCAGTCTTTTAATAGAAAATATATCTAAAAATATATACTCATGTTATTTTAATTTCATAATTTCATGAGATAATTTCATAAGTAAAAAGGCCTCCAATACTAAGTAGGCACGAAAGTTACTCTCACCATTGTGAATTATATATTGAAATAAATATATAGATGTTGATGTTTCTCCAATCACATACTCCGTATATGATGCAAGTTAAGATGCATTTATTAAAAAATTGAAGTATTTAAATTTAGTAATGATCAAATATGTAGATTTCAAATGAAGTAGACACAAAAAAGTAGGAAAAAAATGAAAAAACGATCAAACTAATAAATTGTCATATATGTTGAGTTTATTGTGTGAAATCGCCTTAATAAGTAGGTGAGCATATTATCTCCATATGCATCTAGTTCAAAAAAATATATCAAAATATCGTGTATTGTGATGAGTCATACATATGTTACTCTCTAATAACAAATTTAGTGGTTGGTTAAAATAAAAATCTTTTGTGATTTTAACATTTAGATTTCAGGACAAATATGCATGCAAGTTTACTTAATTCTAAGACACATATTTTCTCAGTGGGAATTTGTCATTTTATTTAGAGTATAAAATGTGTGATTAATTGTAATATATGCAATTTGGAACA